TTCTTGTCTTCATAAGCTGGACCTAGTAGATAGGTCAATGTCAATAAAAATAATTTTGATTTCAGGACACACACAACCAAGCTGGTATTTTACATATTGGTGGTTTGGTGCCTTTGTTGAAGCTTCTAGATTCAAAGAATAGCTCTTTGCAACACAATGCTGCATTTGCTCTTTATGGTCTTGCAGATAATGAGGTATGGTAGCATGTATACTCATGAACCTGGGAAAGTGTTTGAATTTATTTTTTGGAGGCATGTAACACTGTGTTAATATATTCATCTCTCCTGTAGGATAATGTATCGGATTTTATTAGGGCGGGTGGTGTCCAACGGCTGCAAGATGGAGAGTTTATTGTTCAAGTATGTCAATTCTTTTAGATATTAATTCTTTCTCCCCTCTTAGTTTTCATGCTTTTAATTTTTAATTGCTGCATGATTTGCATAAGAACTCAAAACTTTGCCTGCTCATTATTGTGTTTTTATATTTTCCCGAACTGATTTAATATTGGTAATGGTACTGTCAGGCAACAAAAGACTGTGTGGCCAAGACATTGAAAAGACTAGAGGAGAAGATTCATGGGCGAGTAAGCATTTTCATTCCTTTAACTACACTTTACCATTAAAATCTTTATTTATCATATTTTCTGTTTCGACTACAGACAGACCTAGCTCTGTGATGCTCACTGTTACATCTTTATTTATCATATTTTCTGTTTGGACTACAGACAGACATATCTCTGTGATGCTTACCGTTACATCTTTATTTATCATATTTTCTGTTTTGAATACAGACAGACCTAGCTTTGTGATGCTCTTCTATCTTTTAGACCTCTGAGTGTGTAATCTCTGAGATTTTGGTTTTGATTATCTTTTGTAGGTCTTGAATCATTTGCTATATCTGATGCGTGTAGCAGAGAAGCCAGTCCAAAGAAGAGTGGCTTTGGCTCTAGCTCATCTTTGTTCTCCCAATGATCAGGGAACGATATTCATTGATAACAATGGTCATATTCTTTGCCCCTTCTTCAGTTATCCCCAAATCAGTCATATTCTTAATTCTTGCAATTTAAATTAGCACATTGCATTGATGGAGCTTACATGTTTTTGCTGCTTTGAGAGGCTGAGTGTGCTCTATTTTCATTCAGGACTTGAGCTGCTTCTTGGGCTTCTTGGTTCTACAAGCTCTAAGCAGCAACTTGATGGTGCTGTAGCTCTGTACAAGTTGGCCAACAAAGCTATGACTCTTTCTCCTATGGATGCAGCTCCCCCTTCTCCAACACCACAGGTGAGTTTGTACAAGTTGTTTAGTCTAGTCCCAATTATTGTTGTTCCATGTAGCATGATGTTGACTGTTGTGGATGGCCATATCCTGTTCCATGATTGTTGAAAGGCCAGATCTATGACTGGTTGTGATTTTATATCATAATCCAAAGTTGGGAGTGGCATTGGACTAGGCTTATGAGTTTCCTCTGTGGATTGTGTCCCAACCAAATATTCGAGAATGAAGGAAAATTGATGTTTTTGGTCATATATCTTATTGAAGTATGTGTTTAATTTGAAGACCTTGAAATTAAAACTGAATTGGAAATTAAGGGCAATTTTCTAAAAAAAAAAAAAAAAAAAGGCAATTATTTTCCTAGTTTTGGAGCGATTGATGGAAAGAACAAGGAAAATGAGGAATTGCCAACTTTCTTTCTTGTTTTTGTTATACATTTCCAAATGTAATCTGCATTTTAAGAGTTTATATGCAGATTCTTATTTTTGCTTCAGAGTCTTAATATGTGTGTGGATGTGTGTTCTTATAATCATTTCAAGTTTCAAGAGTAGATTGACAACATTCTCATAATTGGTTCAGAAGTAGGAGAATAGTTTATACTTTCAAAAATTCTATGTTAAGTTCCTGTTACAACATACAATTTAATTGCAGGTCTATTTGGGGGAGCAATATGTGAACAACGCTACATTATCTGATGTTACCTTCTTAGTTGAAGGTTGTTATATGATCTGCTTACTTAAAGTTCTGATACTTGCTATGGAGAAACATTTGATGTCGGGTCAAAATATTGGTTTTGTTGTAATTAAGATCCTTTCTTTCTTCTCTCTTGCAGGTAGACGGTTCTATGCTCACAGAATCTGCCTGCTCGCTTCTTCAGATGCATTTCATGCTATGTTTGATGGTGGCTATCGGGTGAGTTCACTTTTGCATCTTTTGATGTCCCAGTTCTTCAGCCCTCCTTTTCCTAAGAGGGGCCCAGGGTTCCTTCACCTTGATATTTGTGTCGGAGTTTTTGTTCAAGTATCTTTCTAACAACTGGGAGAGTCCACACTGATTGCTTTATCTTGCAGCTGATATGAGATATTGTCCTTTATTTCTGATGGTTGTGGAAATGCTCTAAACACATCTATTTTTTCAAACTTGGGCTTTTTCACTTGTGATTGGTGGCCTTATTTATTCTTTACTAGTACTCTTCTTCTGAGTTTAGCTTTAAACTTAAACCTATAGCACTCACTACATTATAGAAACAATGTTGCCAAGGTACATGATTTTCATTTTCAAATTATTGCAGGAAAGGGATGCAAGGGATATTGAAATTCCGAACATTAGATGGGAGGTTTTTGAGTTGATGATGAGGTATTACAAAGTCTTTGATCCATATCTATATTTATTTACTTCATTTTGTTCTTTTTGAACACCATTCATTTACTTGATTTCAATCTTTGTACAGATTTATATATACTGGATCAGTAGATGTTACATTGGATATTGCACAAGATCTGCTCAGAGCAGCTGATCAATATCTTTTGGAGGGACTTAAGAGACTCTGTGAGTATACCATTGCACAGGTGAGCCAAAAAGGTTGTCTTTAGATATTTTGAATCCTTTTGCTGCTTTAAAACTGGGAATTGGTATCTGATTGTTTCTATGTTTTGATTGAAGGATATATCGCTGGAAAATGTTTCTAGCATGTATGAGCTCTCTGAAGCTTTTCATGCTATATCATTGAGGCACACTTGCATTTTGTTTATCTTGGAGCATTTTGATAAACTGAGCGCCAGACCTGGGTATGTACTTTAATTAACTTGCCACATCCCTGCCCTTTTTATGCATTTAACTATGTGAAACATCATAGGGTCTTTAGCATTGCAATTTTTATTTTGTCTACTCTTTTTAGTAGTCTATGTGATACTTTTATCAAACTAGTACGAAGTTGTTTGAGATCCTTGATCTCTCAGTTTGCTGGTTGCAATTTTCTGAAGCCTTTGTCTTTGGTATTTCCATGATAAATGCTTTGGGACTGTAGTAGTGTTGGGGCCTGGGGGATGTCAAATAATTAGGATGTTGGCTGGAATGTTATGGGACTTTGAAGCTGGAGAGTAGCATCTTATTGATGTATTATAAGGATTAGAAGAATTTCATGCTTTTTGGTGGCTGTGTTGAATAAATTTTTATATGCCTTGTGGAGACCTTATAATTTATTGTAGTTTTGATGTTGGTGACGAGTATCTTTATAGAATCTTCCTACATACAATGCCTGGAAAATGGAAATAATCTTGGAATGATAAAATGTTTTTGGGCTCTTCAAAGTAGCATTTGTCAAATGCTCATGTTTCACCAAGACTGATGTTACTGCCCCGTTTATAGTTTTCTGTGTACTGAGATCAGATATAGCTCCCTATTCTTTTTCCAATATTGGCTGCTGGATTAAAACCTATCGCAACTGCTGAAAATTTCTACTCATGCTGAATAATTGCAGGCACTTGCATCTAATCCAGCAAACAATTCCGGAGATCCGCAATTACTTTGCCAAAGCATTTGCAAAACTTAACCCACATAACCTGCGGCTATAGACGGCTGGTTTTTAACTCCTGATCTCTAACTAGATACATTGTACACAAAGTAGCAGATCTTGTTGATGTTGTGGAGCCGTTTGAAGGTTCTAATTGGTTCTTTGTAGCGTGGTTCATATTCATTACTGATGCCAGAGTTTATGTTTCACGTAGAAAAAGGTATTTAAGTTTCCTCTTTAATTCGTTGTCCTAGATGTTTTGAGAATATGGTTTCCACTTTTCATTTTCATGGACTCTTGTTGGTTGTTAAATTTAAATGTATTCAAACTATGTTTTGAGTTGGCATTCTTTGAAAATTCTAGTTATTTTTGAGAAGTAACAAGATTCTTGATGTTCACCTCGCTTGATTTTCCGTGTAAAAGTTGAGGTTGCTTGAAAAGGATCATGAATGTAACCAAGCCAATGAATCTTGCAGTGCGTCTCTCTATGCAAGTAGGACCACTTGTGTCTGCAGTGCTTCTCTTTACGTTATGTTTTTTTTTTTTTTTTAATTTGCTTTTTGTTTTTAAGTGAAAAATGAACAAAAGATAAAAAATAAATAACAAAAAGCAAAAGGTAAAATTTTGATCAAACAAGTTGATCAATGGCAACTAAACTACCAAAAATCCAGGGGCTTCAATCGTTCAATCGTGCATCATTTGCGAATAGATTGGATAACTAGCGGTATGACATGATAGTTGACCATTCAAAATATGATGTAATGAATTTAGACATGAGGAATTTTTAAAAATACATAAAAATAATATAATTTAAAATTTAATAAAAAAGTTAAATAATGTATTTAATATTTTTTTATATCATTATAAATTATAATATAATTTTATATAAAATATGATATAAAAATATAAATTATTAATATTTTATACTGTACAAATACGGTCGAGCCACGTTTTTCATTCAGCATTGTCCTTTCATGATGACTTTATAATTACTAAGACAAATCTTCATATGACGTCAATGGATATGGTTTATTGAACCAAAAAAGCAATATTTGTTCGAAGGTTGACGCAACGTCAACTTTGGCTTGCTTAAGCTATTTTCCACACGCTTTATAAATTGACTTTGGATGAGGGTTTATTCATTCCATAACAAAACATTCACAAAATTTGCAAAATTTTGCCCTTTTATTAACCAAGTTCCCACATCTAAACACTTTCAAAGATCAGTTTTAATATGGGTTCCCTTGGCAAGGAAGTAGCCACCGAGATTCTCCCTTTCATCCGGGTTTACATGGATGGTTCGGTTGAACGACTGGCTGGCTCTCCCAACGTCTCTCCATCAGCTGAAGACCTTGAAACAAAAGTCTCATCGAAAGACATCGCATTTTCAGAAAATCCCCCAATCTCAGCTAGAATTTACCTACCAAAACAGGTTGGACAACACCAAAAAGTTCCCCTCTTAGTCTACTTCCACGGTGGAGGCTTTTGTTTTGAATCCGCTTTCTCATTTGTTGAAACCAAGTACATGAACAGCTTGGCTTCCCATGCCAAAGTTGTTGTTATTTCGATTGAGTATAGGCTAGCTCCCGAACATCCCCTCCCCATTGCCTATGAGGACTGCTGGGCTGGTCTCCAGTGGGTCGTTTCTCATTCTGGTGATTATGTTATAGATAACAAGGAACCTTGGTTATCCACTTATGTTGATTTTGATCGAGTTTATGTTGCTGGTGACAGCGCTGGAGCTAACCTTGCTCACAATATACTGATGAGAGCTGGCTCAGAGGCCCTGAATGGTGGTGTTAAAATTACAGGAGCTTTTCTAACACACCCTTATTTCTGGGGTTCAGAGCCAGTTGGTTCTGAGACTAAGAATGTGGAAGAACGAGGGAAGCTCCCTACATACACGATCTGGCACTTAGTGAATCCAGAGGCGCCTGGAGGAATTGATAATCCAATGGTGAATCCAGTGATTCCAGGGGCTCCAAGCTTGGCAGGACTAGGATGTTCTAGGTTACTTGTTAGTGTTGCTGAAAAGGATATGCTGAGGGATAGAGGGATTCTATACTATAATGCAGTTAAAGGGAGTGGGTGGAATGGAGAATTGGAGTTGATCGAAGTTGAAGGGGAAGATCATGCGTTCCAGATTTTGGTTTATGAGTCTGAGAATGCTAAGAAACTGATCAAACGCCTGGCTTCTTTCCTTGTCTAGGACAAAATGAATACAATTCAATTGTGCTATATGTCATGGTATGCTGAAAATTAAGCATATTGATGTGCCTTCTTTTTTCTTTTTTGTTTTTTTTAGAGATATTTTGCCGGAAAAGATGCTTAATTTGTAACAATAGTAAGTACTTGACTTTCATGTCAATTATTGAACAACCTTTAATCGAATCAGATACTCCTACCTCAATCTCAATGTGAACGGAACACCTAAAATGATTATGATTCCCTTAGGTGCTTAATTCAAGGCAATTATATTTAGAATAATTTATCCTAAAACTATCAAGTGTGACCTGTTGATTTTTTTCCGGTTGGGTGATTGGATACTTGCTGTGAGGTTGAAGGGATTGACATGGATGATGACTATGACTTGTCAGAACATTTGGGGGGCATCAGAGATACTATTCCTGGGTGTGTTTTAAAGCTAGAAGTCAGCAGTATGCACAAGGGAATAGGAGAGGAAGAGGAAGGAGTAGGTGAGAAAAAGTTAAAAGAGAATGTAAGATTAATAATGGACTACTTGTGGCCTTATCTTATTAATTATACTGAATTTTTGTTGACGTGGCCAATTAATTGAGGTGATCGTTAACATAATGGCCAAAATATTAACAGACGATCAGGGTATAAAGTATTACCAAACAAAAAAAATTAAGATTAATGGACACCAAACTTCCAACAGAAAGGTGGAATTGGCTATTTTCTTCAATAAACAAGTGAAAATATTATATCCGTTATCCCTCAACTATTGCACATTCTTTTTGAAGAGAGTTGTGCAGCCATCACCCGAACATAGAATTTCTTTTTGTACATACAAAAAAAAAAAAAAAACTCAGAATTTCAAATTATTTTGCTAAAAGTCAAGCTGCGTTTGTATTGGGCCATGAATGATTGATAGCGATAACTATATCAGCAACTTTTTGCTGGCCGCCTCAATTTTATTTTGCTGGTAAAGCAAAGCAAGCAGTCTATGATATACATGTTGACATCAAATTGTTAGAAGAAATTTCCTAATGATCAATTCAACGACTAAATTGTGTAGTCTTTTGAGGAACTAATCCCACCACCCCTTTTTTAATATAGAAAGTTGTTAATTGAAGAAAAACAACAAGATGATAATTAATTCACGTTGTCCTCCTCGAATTATATTAATTAAAAAAAAAAAAAACTAGTCACGTATACCCTTATTACGTGGGTGAAATAATAAATAATTTTATAATTTTAAAAAGGTTAAACGAAAAACATATAAAAAATTATTGTTATTTTTTATGAAATCACAAGTATAAAAAATACAATTAAAATCAAGCATTACATTTATATAAAAATTTATTGAATACTACAAGAAAACTATCATATATCTGATATTTAAAAAATTATCGATAAAAATAAAAAATTCATCCATATAATATTATAAACTCTATACTGATGGTCAAAATATATATATTTTAACGAATTTTTCGTTGTCAGTATATCTTTTATTAGTATAGACCTATATTGATAGTTTTTAAGGTATACGAATAGGTAATACCAATGATTTGGACCGTCAACATATGTGCTACTGTTGGTATAGTATTTGTTATGTGTTTCACTATTAACCTTTTATCAATGGTTATCTCTCGTTGGTATAAACTTGTATGTTTCGATTTTTTTTACCTATAGGACGAATTATTCGACATTATATCTATTATTGATGGTTGGTGTCGGCCAGTATAGTTTTGTGTGTTTCACCTATACTGATGGTATATCCAACGTTATTTTTTTTATGATGATCAATGCCTGTCAGCATCGTTTTATGTGTTTTTATTTATAGCGATGGTCAATCTAACGCTATATTTTATTGACAATAGATGGACGTTAGTATAGCTTTAAATATTCTAACATTAAAATGAGTTGGTATAGATGTAAAGACATCCATAAAAACTTCATTTTGAATTATATTTCGAATTATTAATATTAATATTAACTAGAATTAGACCTTGCTTTGCTGTGAGATTTTTTTTTCATTTTTTAAAATTATGTTTTAAATATAAAACAAGTAAAACTCTTATATCAAGTTTTAATGAATGACAACGTATAAATAAATGTAAGTGTATTTGTTAGCTCAAAGACTTAAATTAAACCAAGATAGTGGTGAATTGTTTGACAAAAATCAATATCCAGCAATCACAAAATTCACAAATTAGTTTATCTAATCCAATAAACACAACGAATATAAGTACTAATAATCTTAAGAGTAAGAGATTAAGATAGAAAATCAAACACTAAAATTTATAGAGGTTTGGCCCTTCCTTTAGGTACCTACATCCTCTCCCTTAGCCTCATTTGCCAATGAGTTCAATCCACTATGTGTCAAAAGTTATAACCTAGCTCTTCAAAGTTCTATACAATTAACAACACAATCTTTTAAGGGTTATCCTCCCTCTTAAGCTCACAACCTTATAATACAAAATTTTGAAGTGTTTGTAAACTCAAAGAATCCCTCTAAGGTTGGGTGTTTGTTAATTTGAAGTACAAATCAAGATTGAAAAGAATATCAAGAGAAAATTAGATACAATAAGAATTTCTGCACTTTTCTCACACTAGGATGCTATTTAATACTTGGTGAATAGATAGATGTAATAAGTTTTCTTGGCTCTTAGTTACTTCAAATATGGTGGGAGACCTTTATTTATATGTTGAGAGTGAAAGATAGCCGTTGGTTGCATTTATTGTTTGGAGCCTCTATAAAATTTTAGACAAAAATAGCCATTGCAAGCATTTTGGGCAAGAGGGGATCGATCCCTTTTTAGGAAGGATCAATTGGGTCGATAAAAAATCAAGCAATTTTATGCATGAAAATGCACAACCAATAGATCCATATCAAGAACCAATCGATCCCTTTTTTAAGTGATCGATCACCTAGTTTGAGTGATCGATCCCTTCTCAAATCTAGGAACAATCTTTTCATACTGTGTAAAAAACCAATTGATCCTTTCATGAAGGATCGATACTATCTTTAAAACCCATAAACCAATCGATCTATACAAGAAGGGGATTGATTAGTTTTCATGAAATTTGCAGGAGAAAACTTTATGGCCAAAAAATCAGTCGACCCCCTTAAGGGTGATCAATCCCTTTTATATTAAATTACCTAATTCTATTTTTAAACCATGCCAGATGAATTTGAACAAATTTCTAACTAGATTAAAAGTTGAAAAAGCATTCAAATTAAGTTCAAATCATTTTAATTTAAGTTTAGCAAATTTTTGTTTTATCATTTCAAAATGTTTCATCAATTCAAAGCTAATAGTCTCTCCCTTTTTGATATGACAAAACCAATAGTAAAAAATATGCTTTGAAAACATTTTCCTCTTTTAAGAAGGCTTCCTTTGAATTAAGCAAGATTAACAAAATTAGATGGCCAATTTTTCATTATGAACATATAAAAAATATAAGGTAGAAGTCTCCCAAGCAATTAAAAATTTATCAACTAGCAACATAATAATTTAGCAACAAGCAAATTTTCACAATACTAACTTCTCTCCCTTTTTGTCATAGCAAAAAATATTAAAGAGCAAGGCACAAATACTATAGCCAATGTAAGATCAATTTGCTCAATCAATTTAAGACAACAATATGATAATCAATATAAGGCCAATATCATTGAAACTCAATACTATAGCTCAACATAGCTTCATAATATCAAGAATGAGAATGACCACAATGACATTAGCATAGCAACACAATTAAGTACAATAAACTTAAAGTTCATGCCATAATATGTAAAGTACCAAAGTTGATACTACAATTAAAATGTCTTGAAGTAAGTTAAAAACTTAAAAACATAAAAGAAAGACACGTAAGAAACACATTTAGGCTTGGCTCCAAGGATAGGTCAAGGTATAAGAGGATAAGGAGAAAAATGATGAAAACGCTGCTCCATTTGCTCTTATGCAGTTTGGATGTGTCCAATATCAATCTTAATTTATTGAACTTGTGAAATAATCTCATTTTGGGTTTGTTCCATGTTTTCCAATCTAGAGTTCATATCCCTAACCAATGAGTGTAAACGATTCATTTGAGTCATAAGAATTTGTAAAGCTTCTTGGGTATCAAATGGTGGACTAGAAGAACCTTATTGGGGAATATCTTGAATCTCATGCTCTTTTCCATGCTCAACTCCAAGTTTATTTTTCTTAATCCATACCTCATCAATATTTTGAGTGTATCCCATACTATGAAATGTATAAACTTCAATAACATTAATAGGATCGAACCGAATCTCTCTATCACTTCTAGTATTAATACCCACCTTCCTAAATAGATTACTAATGGCTATCCCATATACCAAGGTGTAGTCCCTATTTTGAACAACCCTCATCATATCATTAAAAATGAAGTGCACAAGATTGGGTTTCTCCTCATGTTTGATCTTATATATACACCAATAATATTGTTTCCTAATGATGGAGCATTGGGTTCCAAATGGTGTTAACATATGTGTGACTATAAGATTAAGCAATCTATCATGCATGTTCAACCTAGAAGCTTGAGTTGGAGTAACACTTAAATCATCATTCTAAAAAATATCTTGAGCCAATTCAAGCATATTTTATCTAGTGTTTGTGTCTTCATTATCTTCTAACATGAAAGTTTTAGCCAACAAGTTATTGCCCATAACTATTTCTTTACCCATCACAAATATCCTAAATTTATCAGTACAATACTTATTCCCATGTCTATCAACTTCGTTATACTTATTCCCTTACTAGATTCTCAAAGACAATGCTATCTAAACTAAATAGTTCATCCAACCAAAATTCTCAAAACCATATAAGTATGGAAATCCAATAGATTGAAGGAAATTAAAATTGATTACCCTTCCTTGCTTGACTTTTCTATGAGAAAAATGAGTCTCATATTTTTGCTTTACTGTAGGATTTTCAAAATTTTGGTTAAAAGAAGGCTTGATTGAAGAACTAGAAGCTTCCCTTAGTGGATTTTTCTTGTGGCAAAAGGAGGTCTTGTTTTAGGTGTCTTGGAAAATGGAAATAAGTAGGCTTATGTGAAATTAATGAAGGAATTTGTAAATATAGGTGACAAGTAGTAAATATATTTGAGAGAAGCAAGAAAATTGAATGAATAAGGTAGTTTCAATGGAGACACAAAAATGGATCAATTTCTTAGAGTGAGAAGCATGGGTGGAGATTTTTGTGACTTGAAAGATTTTTAAAAAAGATTTTGCAAGAAATCAAATAGATATGAAGCAATTTGTAAAAGATTTTAGGTGAAAGTCATCAATTTTTAGATAAAATGGAGCATGAATACCTAGGAATTTAGAAGAAAGTGTTTTAGGAAGAAGGAGAAAAAAAGAAGAAAGGACTATGGTCAGCCAAGGAAAGAGAAGAGTCTAAATTTTAAGTGGTCAAAATAGTGCGTATAAGGGAGTTGTTCATGACCTAATCGATTGGGTGGCAAGGGGATCGATTGGGTAAGGACTTGACAAACCTGGGCAAGCCATGGACTAATCGATCAGGGCAAGGGGGATCAATCGGGTTCCAACATTTTCAATTTTAATTTAGCTACTGGATAGAAAACCAATTGATTTGGTCAAAAGGGGATCGATTAATTCATTTATAGCAAATTTTTTTTAAAAAAAAATTAAAACCATGCAACATAACTATTCAAATATGCATCATATAATTATAAATATAATTACAGACAAGATTTCAAAAATATGTCAAAATAAACACACATTTGGTCAAACAAGGTATCAGCATTCATCATACAATTAATAATTTCATTCAAGGA